GTGTGTTGGTGTTACTGGATGCTACTTCATCATCACTTTCATCTTCGCTTGAGCTTCCGTCATCAGGTCGATCACATGGTAATTTTTTCGGTATTCTTCCTCCACACTTTTAACTTTACTGCACAATTTTCCCCATTCACCTTCTCCTATCATATTTACCTTTTCGATCACTAGTTTAGCCATAAAACAATAGATATAAATAATTTTTTTCCTTCCTTTTTAAAACATCGTCGCGAGTCGCAAAGTAAGCTGTGTATGCGACTGTATTTTTGGAGCGAACAAAGCGCGGGAACCAATAGCATGCAGGCACACTAATACTGGCGGATTGTTCCCCCGTCGCGCGCCTTTCGTACCAATATGTGATAAATCGCTCAGTGCCCAAGTTCAAGGCCAGCGTTTGTTTTTCACCGTTCGCGCGTACATTAACCTCCATTAGTCAGGTGATATCAATTCAGTTTCCACTGCTGGTTTTATGTTTCAGTATTTTCATGATATTTTTTATGAAATTATCGTTTCATTTAGCTGTACTAACATGATGGCGCGTGAATAAAGCTAATAAAACGTTGTTAAAAGATGATTTTTTTTTCATCAGGATCGACTTTATTTGTAACCCATGATCAAAGGTATACTTGGTGCTGTCGCCTGTCTTAGTTTTCGGGAGCGTTCCAAAAATACCCTGTATATATATATACTTATAAAATAAATTATAATAAAAATAACAAGATAATAAAAATGTATATTACTTAAGTACATATTAAAACGTCAGATGTATGTAAACTCATGAAGATATACAATTATAGACGTAATCAAATAAAATGTATATACATACATACATACATACATAAACACTCACGCCTGTCACCCAGAGGGGTAGGCAGAGACTACGGACTTCCATTTGGCGCGATCCTGACACACCTCTCTCGCCTCTTTCACATCCATATATCTTTAAAACATCATAAATGTATATATTTATATATAAAATATATATAAACTATTACTATGATGAATCTGCCAATTTATTAGTTAAGTATTCCCGAACCTTCATCTTGAACGCGTAACGATTGCTAGCCGTCCTGATTTCGAGAGGTAGTGCGTTCCAAAGGAGAATAGATTGAATGTGGAAAGAAGAATGAACAAGTCCAGAGCTATGGGAGGGACATAGGAGAAGAAGGTTGTTCGTAGAGCGGAGGTTTCTCTCATGACTAGCGCTAAGCAACTGAAAGTATGGAGATAAGTAGGAACAGGAAGTTGGAGACATCAGGATAGAATAAAGGGTAGTGAATGCACGCAAACTACGGCGTTGACGAATAGGTAACCATTTTAATTGAGATCGATACGTGGATACATGGTCATACTTTCGAAGATTGAAAATGAATCGAATGCAGTTATTCAGAAGACGGATATATTTATTGAGAAGATCTGCATTCAGGTCGAAATAACACACATCATCATAGTCGATTAGGGGAAAAATTAAGCTTTGCACAAGCATTGCTTTGATTGCAGATGGCAGAAAATTTTTTAGGCGATAGAGAGAACGCAGGGTACCGGTAACTTTCTGGCTAACGGTCGTTGCTTGGTCTTTCCAACTCAAAGTAGAATCAATTAATAAACCTAGATCCTTCACAGTAGAACACAGTTGGATCTCAGTACTATTAAAAAAGATAGGAGGTAAAGCTACCGTTTTCAATCTATGAATCATCCGACGGCTACCAATTATTATGGCCTGACACTTCGAAGGGTTGACCATTAGGCCAAACCTGTCAGACCAGTTCTTAATATACTCAAGGTCCCTGTTAATTACGTCTACCGCTGTAGAAATATTGTCAATACTCGCTTGTGTGTACAGTTGCAAGTCATCGGCATACAGATGATACGCAGACTGAAGGTCTTGGGTAATGAGATTAATAAATATAGAAAACAACAAAGGAGATAATATGCCGCCTTGAGGAACACCAGCATGTAAGTCAAGCCAGCTAGATGATAGCTCATCGATGCGAACCGACTGCTGGCGACCTCGAAGATAAGATGAAAACCAATCCAGTGCTTCGGGTGAGACCATTGAAAGGGAAAGGATGGAAATTAGAAGGTCATGACTGATGGTATTAAAGGCGTTCGAGAAGTCAACTAAAACCAACATAGTGACTTTAGTATCCTCTATGCCTGCCCTAATATCACCAGTTACTTTCAGGAGTGCGGAAACGGTGCTATGACCGGGCCTAAAGCCAGACTGCAAGGGACTTAGTAAGTTATGACAGGAGATAAACTGCGAAAGTTGCTTGTGGACACAGGCCTCAAGGACCTTGGATAAGAAGGGAAGGATGGATATAGGTCGGAAATGATTGGGTAGAGTGGGATTTGAGATCTTTTGTAATGGAATAACGTAAGCCTTACGCCACAAAGAAGGAAAGTCACCAGAATCCAAGGAGAAGTTAATGATGTGCGAGATAACAGGGAGGATATGGTCAAGTATAAAGATAATCATCCGTCGGCTAATGTTGTCGCAACCTACAGCATTAGATTTAATGGATAGGATTGTCTTCTTGATCTCATCCATAGCTACTGGAGAAAATTGAAAGAGATCAATATCGGGACGAGGTAAACCCATTAAGTGTTCAATAGTAAGACGCTTGGTCTGGTGATCAAGAGGACTGTTGGAGACAAAATGAAAATTAATATCATCCAGACCAATCGTCTTCTGAAACTCACAACGTTGTCGTTTACCGATACCTAAGGTTCCAAGGAACTTCCAGATATTAGCAGAGGAAGAAGATGAGATGTTACTAAGAATAAATCGGCGTTTGGCGTTGCGTATCATCTGATTGCACCGGTTCCTTGCAACTTTATAAAAAGTCCAGTTCTCATCACATCGATCTTTTCTAAATTTGCCAAAAGCCCGATCCCTACGTCTCATCGCAATTCGAACCCCAATCGTTATCCATGGCGCAGGTGGACGCTTGAGCTTCACTTTTTTAATCGGAGCATGTACATCATATAGCCTAAGGATAGCTTCATTCAAAGCCTCTATCTTTTCGTCCACAGTGGATGCAGAAACCACGCTGTTCCAGTTTATTTTGGATATATCCATACAAAGTTTTTCAACGTCTAAGCGACCAAAACAACGCATGTGAAGAGTTTTAGCTGGAGGTTTAGGAGGTTTTAGGACGTAAGAAATGAATATGAGATCATGATAGGAGAAAGTAGGTGCAAAGTGCTGACCGTGGGAGAAGACAAGAGAAGGAGCAGAGGTAAGGATTAAGTCAAGCCAGGTATCCTCTACATCAATATTGTGGTGAGTGGCTTGTAAAGGTAAATGTGGAGGCCAACCGACTCGATAATGTGAAGGAGCTTAGAGGAACGGGATGAGATGATATCTGAAATTTAGGTTTTTATTAAATATCAATTCTTTGTCACATCATCCTCTTTTTCAAAAAGTATTATTTTACTATAATAGTATGTCTTCTATATCTAACTCAGCCCCATTTATACTCCATGACTTTCATGAAGTGATACGATATGATGAACAATATAATATTCACAAAAGCACACATACTTGGCCTTGTTATAAGGGGAATTATGAAAGTAAATTCAGTGATATACACATAAATATTGATAAAAAATTGAAAAGAAAAGAAGAGGTTTATGAACTTATATCTACATATGATGAATATCGACAAATTTACACAGATGGTTCAAAAGTTGAAAATAAAGTAGCCTGTGCATTTTACATACCTCATCTGAAAACTGGATGTGGCCTTTCCATTCCCGCATCAGCAAGCGTATACACTGCAGAATGTTATGCTGTCTTAATTGCTCTTAAATATATAGAAGAACACCCACATGTATCTAATAAATGGTTACTGATCTCTGATAGCATAAGTGTCTTGAAGGCACTGAAGGCAAGAGCTTTAGATGCTAAAACGTCTTTCATCATATATGAAATCAAAAGTTTGTGGTGGAAATTGAAAGAAAATAATTTGGAAGTAAAATTTTTATGGACTCCGTCACATATTGGGGTTCAAGGAAATGAAAGAGCAGACCATTTAGCTAAAAGTATAGTTACAGCTGATATTGAAAGGATAACCGATGTTGCAATACCACATACAGATTTATATTCAATTTTAAAGAAACAGTTAAAAGAAGAATGGAAAATGCAATGGAATGCTGTTTTAGAGGCAGGAAAAGGTCGTTGGTATGCATCAATTAATTCAGAATTAAGTATTCCTTGGTTTTCTCGCAACGAGAGATATCATAGCAGAAAATTTTATACAATAATGTGCAGACTTAGATTTGGCCACTATCGACTGAACGCTCATCTTTCCAGGATGAGAATAGTAGCATCTGCAACATGCAATTTCTGCGATACAGAAGCAGATCAGACTGCAGAACATATAATATTTAACTGCCCAGCGTACGCCATTGAAAGATTGCTACTCATTGAAAAACTTATGCAAGTTTATGAAAACTCAGAAAGCGTCCCGCGTGCCCTGCAAGATGTTCTTAGGAATACTAAGACATATTTAGCACTTTGCAATTTTATTCATAATACTGTAAAAGAAATATGTCCGTATCCCTGTTCTTGAAAATATTGTATTGACAAATCTACACGGATTGAAACCTACAAAAAATATAATATAATATAAAGAAGACTTGGCTTTAGCCTTTACGGGTTTTTGAAAATATGAAGAATTAAAGAAAAGACTTGACTTCGGCCTTTATGGATTTTGAAGAGATAGAAAGAAGAAAAATAAGACTTGGTTCCGGCCTTTACACTTTAAAATTTTATATATTCAAAATAAAAAAGACAAGGCTGTATGGCTTAGTTCCTTTGCCTGCTCTCTCGAGCAAATAATAAAAACAACAACAACTATGGTGAAAAGTCAAAACAATGCGTGTGGAGTGCAGCAAGTTAACCTTAGAATTTACTAGTTAGTCTGTGAATTAGCCTGTAGCAGCAAAAGCATGAAGTTTCTTGGTTATTTAATATTTACATATTTGTAACAATGGGTCTTACAAAGCAATATTTACGTTACGCACCAAGTGGAACTTTCAACATAATTGCTAGTGCTGATTGCAATAGTACTCACGTATCTTTAAATGGAATTAGTGGAAGATATGTAGCAGTTGGAGCATGTGAACATGTTATTATTTGGGATATGAGATTAGGAGAAAAAGTAAGATCATCATTTTTCTACCAGAATGAAGCAACACAAAAAACTAAATAGTACCTACCACTTATCCATTTCTTAGATGTGGAAAATTATATATTTCTTCTAGCTTTCCCTAAAGCTAATCATGATGAAGACTTCTTTTTTCTGAATTAGCTTATTAATCTTATTGTTAATTTGTAACAGGTATTATTATAATATTATTTTTGTAGGCTCAGGTCATCCCTGGTGAGAATGTAGTAGTTTCACAAATAGCAGCAAGCCCAACAGGCAATCATATGGCAGTGGGTTATGTTGATGGGAACATTAATGTGTTTGAACTAATGAACAATGAGATAGTGTGTGTTTTTGCTGGACACAAGTCAGCTATTACAAGTTTACAGTATGATGAGCAGGGTCACAGAATAGTTTCTGGATCAAAGGTAATTTAACTTTTTATATCAAATTTAATTTATATAAATACTAATTCAGTATTTCTACTGGAAATGTTGCTTACATTAGTGCTTTTTGCATATATAATTAAGATAGTTTGGTAATAATCATTTATGTTTCTTTGTTTTATTTTTTTTTTTCATAAAACTACTTATTTATACTTATTTATTTACTTATTACAAGATTGTTTTTGCTTTTTATTTATACTGTTATATAATAACTTCTGATTTTTCTCATTTAATGTTTACATTATTGTTGTTTACTACTCTTATTGCTATTAGTATACTATTTATATTGTTTACAGGATACAGAGGTTATTCTCTGGGATGTTGTGTCAGAAACTGGTGTGGCGCGATTCAGTGGACATAAAGGTGCCATAACAAGTGTTCTTTTTATAAATGGCAAAAATTGTATAGTTAGTGCTTCAAAGGATACTTTTATTAAGTTTTGGGATATTGAGACTAAACACTGCTTCAAAACATTAGGTGGACACCAAATGGAGGTAGGCTTAGTGTTAATATGGAAAATAATATGTTAAAAAATGTTTCTTTTTTTTTTTACAAACTAAAAGTCAGCTGATGGATATGGGCCTCTCCTGTTAAAGGCTGGATTTGGCAAAATTGATTTCAGAATGATCATAAATGTTAGTTCAGAAATTATTCTGGTATAAATGTTAGTTCAGAAATTATTCTGGTATAAATTTTAGTATGCTAGAAATCATTGTGGTGTAAATCTTAGTCCTCTCCCTAGGGATGAAATGGGATAATAAATTCTCATATCTTGCCACTTCACAACAAGTAATAGTGAAAAGTATATTTTTAAATTATTTTCTTGTTTCCATTAAATCTCCAGAGATTCAGTCAAAATATAGTCACTTCTTAATAAATTATTAAATTGAATTTGCTAATGAAATAATAATTCCAATTTTTAATAATGAGACTTGATAATAGTTTTAATAATAGTGAAATACATTTTAGTTCCTCTTATTTTAACTTAGTTTAGTCAGAATAAAAACTTATTCATTTTAGGCTTGTTTAAGACTCATGAATGTCAAAATCTATCAATCTATCTACACTATCACACCTACTATTATCTCGATTATTTTACTATCAAAGTTTGTTTCATAATCTATTTAGGCCAATATTCAAAAACAAAACTTGTTAATCAGCTCGTAAAATTGAGAATTCTTTATTCATTTGTCACTCCCATGACTGACTAGACACTGGCAGAATTCTATCAAGAGAACCCATAATTCAAAAGAAGAAGAAGAATTATTATTATCTCGGCCAAGGACTTCAACTAGGTGTTGATCAATTTTTCCCAAGTATACGTAGGTACCTGCCAACAACTTCAAAATTAATGACTCCAACAACTGCGGGCATAGGTGTGACCTTTGTTTTGTCCATGTTTATTTTAAGACCTATCTGTTTTGAGAAACTATTGAAGTGCTTGAACATAGTGCTGAGGTCCTCTAGTGATTCTGCTATAATGACTATTTCCTCGGTAAATCAAAGTTGAGTGATGTATTCGCCATTGTTGATGACCCATTGGGTTCCATTGCCCTATTCTAAATTTCCTTATCTTCAGCTCTCTGTCCTTTTTTGGGTCTATTTTTGCATTGAGGTCTTCCATCGACATCATATAGTGGGTTATAATTTTTAACCCTCTAAAACCCATACATACACATACATACATCTCGTCTAACTTCTCATCAGGATGTGCCGAGGTTCCAATTTTCCCAATTTTTTTGCGAGATTCTTCACACCCCCAACCCCGCTGTTACCTTGGTCGCCACCACAACAGAAATAGCAAAACCGCCGAAAAATGGGGGCTGTTTCTATTAGTCGTGTATATGGGGGATTGTGTGCTACAGTTGCTACGCTTGGCAGAAGGGTTGGCAAGCGTAGACTTTTTTTCTAGTTGTTATTCCTCTGTTGCCCTTGATGAATGCCCATGGGACTATATTATGGTATAGTGGATATTCTTACACTGCCACCACACGGCTTTTTTAAATTACTGTAGAATATGAAGAGGCAGATTCCTTTGAGATGTTAACCATGTCTGTCTAAATTTGGTTCAGTGTCATATTTTATTTTAATACTGACTTTAAATACTCAACAGTTTTCTTCATTCTTTCATAACTATAGCAGATTCACAACTTCTCTCAAAACTGTCACAGGGAGACTGAAGTGTTTGACGTCCTGATGTCATAGTTAGCCCTGCTACCTTCAGTTTGTGAATATTAATTTTTGTTCCATTATATGCAGAACAAGCTTACAGTCTCGCAGTCACATGTTCGGGTTTCGATTTAATTTAAAGCTGTAAAGCACCGGAAATGTTGGGAATTAAAAAGTTCAAATTAAACATGATAAAATCCGTAAAATTAGTTTCATTTAATTAGTCAAATATTTTCATTTTAGGTAATGACTGCTCTTCAGTGTAGTTTGTAACAACTTAATTTTTTATACTCTGCTTAATATTTGGTGACCTGTTTTACCAAAAACATATTCATTAACTATGTGGTGGCCGTGTAAGAATATCCACTATCGCATATCGTCCCGTGAACGTATAAAAAGGAGACAGAGGAAAACAAATCGAAAAAGGAGATGGGCAGCAGCATCTTCCTAATAAAAATTATGAAAAAACTACAGCAGCCAACCCACCTGCCAAGCTACTGACAAATCAGCACTGGACTTTAATAGACTATAGTGAATGAATGAATGAATATTCTTTAAGGGCTTGAGCTCTAGTTGCTTTTTCCATAACTGGCTCAATTATAAGTAAAATTAATAATGTCATATTCTTAGTTACTCTATCTAAATCTTAGGTATGGTCAGCGGTGCTATTAAAGGAAGAAAGATATTTGGTGACTGGCAGCATGGATCAAGAATTACGTGTTTGGAAATTGAATTGGACAGATAAGATGAAGGAAGAAGATAAACTAGTGCAGCAGCTAGAAATAGTAAAAATTGAGGAGACTGATAATACAGAAGACACTTCAGTAAGTAAAAATATTTTTGATTAACCTTTATTTTTTACTTAGCAATGAAAAGCGGATTAGTTATTACTGTTGTGCAATGTCTCATCTCAAATTTTTCTCATTGCACATCTTCAATACGCCAATTCGACGCGCCAGGTATACAAATGACGTCAATAAGACCAGAGAACAAATAGGTTCCTTCATTGTATGGGGAGCATGGTTCAATTTATGCATCACAATATTATGAAGTATGACATAATTATTCGGCATAAGAATTATTATGATATGTTTTTTGATGGCATTGATATACGGTAAAGCTGTATAGCTTATGTTTATACTGTAAAATATCAATTTCAGTATTGTAAAATTATTATCAAATAAGTAGAAAAAAATCTAAGATATATAATATGCATTATAAGAGTATATATGTCGGGTTTTTCGAATCAGACTGCCTCATTAAAAAGACAAAAATATTATTCTAATTTTACACTGGCGCCAACAATACTTGTAATGATAAGAAAACAACACAATTACTACCACTGATTAGAATTCTAACTTTGATTGGTTCCTTATATTTACGCGAACACTACACTTTAAATAAAACTAATTTTACGGATTTTATCGCGTATATTAACTTGCCACATTAATTTGACCACGGGTGCTGGAAAGCACCCAAAACGTCGGGAATATAAAATAAGTTAATATACGCGATAAAATCCGTAAAATTAGTTTTATTTAAATTTGATTGGTTCGTTTTAATATAACTACAAAAATACTGACTAAATAATGTGTACAAAAGTCGATGTAATGAAAAATGTACACTGGGCCTTTCATGCTTCTCTTTTGCGTTTTTTTTTATTTTATATACTTAAGTATTTGCTATTTTTATTTTATTTATGTTTAACATGTAAGTGAAAGTGTATTTTACATATCAGGTTTATTTATTGTTAAATAATCATTCTCCCATGGAAGATCACCATAAAGTGCTCTGCCAGTACCAAGACTGTGATGAGTTGGGTACCTTTTTAGTAACTATTGTTGTTAGCAAATTATTATCATGTTTCTCAGTTAATTAATTTTCTTTCATGCATGAAAAACATACAACAGTCAAGTAATTTATTTTCAAATCTTTTAGTATTGGTTAAAATGTAAGAAAAATGAGATCTAAGATAACCTTTCAATATATACCTAAAGTAATAACAACAAAACCCCTTTTTCAGGTTTTGCAATGTCACCAAGTGGGCACCTTAATACGCGGTGGCAAAGGGCGTGTAGTTGGTCTATGCACTGATCCAGGCCAGAGCGTGCTTGCATGTTTTGGGACAGACTCTTTGCTTGAGTTATTTGCGTTTTGTTCTGATGAAGAAGCAAAAATTAGGATGAATAAGCGGGTTAAGAAACAGAGAAAGAAACTTGCGTTAGTATTGGATGAATATAACTATAATTGACGTGGTAGAGCCATGCTGCAGCTATATAAATTGTATAGTTATAGCACGAAAGGGTCGGCACGACCAGGGAAGGACCACACTCTCACAGAATACCAGCATAAAATGGCAACTTAATGCTGCTGTGGTTTGTATGGTGAGTGTAGAGGACCAGAGACCCTTTTTACTGGAAATGAGGCTTTCCATCTTAGTCCTCACGGGTGACAATGCATCTGCATTTTGATTTGTCATCAAGGATAGATGTAGATGTCTATGGCCACATCCACTGTGGACTCTGTGGTTGTTTAATACCCTTATCCTATAAAAAAAAACATGCCGATTAAATACTCTGTAATGGAATTGCATAATTTAAACAGAACTATAGACGATTCCAACAAAATTAATAAAACTGACAACTGTCTAGTTACTGCAAAATAATTGCCTCAAATATCTACTAAATGTGTAATAGTGGTATTTATTCTTGAGGGCTAGATTCTTTTGTTTTTAAAAGGTCCACTTAGATGCTAACTTTTTTAAACTCTTAGCGAAGTAGATGAGTTTACCTACAAATTTTTCTACGAGATAATAAGACATTAACATTATCACAGTAAACTCAAAGAAAGCGGTGAAGTGGACGCCGAAGCGACAGAGATCAGCGAATTGCTAACATTGTCTGACGAAGTACGACGGTTGACATCTGTGAAGTTATCCGCAAAGATCAAGTCTGCAACTCTACTGCTTGGCACTACGGGAGAGCTGCGAGTCGGAGTCACACTTTCTAATAATACTGTAGAGTTACATAGCTTGAAGCTGGGCGAAGAAGGAGAAGGTAAATATGACAGAGAACTATTTTTAATGTAGGATTTGTTTTCAGTGCCTTCATAACAGCTTATCATAATGTTATTATTACACTATATACAGTACACTGTTGATCAGCCTCTCCAAAGTTGGAAATAAATTGCTATAATCGCCATATACTTAACAGATCGCCATACTTAACAGGTGGTAATTTTAAATGTTCATGGCATTCAAAGCATCTGTCATGTTTGTTCTAGCCTAGCATTGTCCTTTGTTGAATGTTTATCATAAAATTCATAATTTTTCTGTATAATGTGTTTATTTTCATTAAAATCACCAAAAAGCCGTAAAAAAAGGTTGCTGAATGACTATACTTACGCTTTTAGCCTTCGCTTACAATGCGTAAAATGTTTATACTTGACAGACTCAATTTGACACGTTACGCGATACCACTATATAGATACGTATGTATATGCGTACGATATATGCATACGTAACTCAGTAATTTAGTTTCATGAATATCTCTAATATAATGAAGTTCGGGGAGTCGTTATCAGAGTATTGATAATAATAGGATGCTCAAAAAGCTAATATGGCACTAGCATGAAATATTAGGAAGATAAACATGTTGTAATAATTTACATACATACACTTAATAATAATTTACATGTCACATTTCAGTAAAATGTTTGAAACAAATTACGCAACCTGGTCACCAGAAAGAGCCGCGCTGTGTTGCCATCAGTTCCGACAACCTGGCCGTACTGTCTGCCGCAGCGGATTCCGTTAAACTTTGGAATAGGTTTGTTGAAATGTATCTCAGATCAAAGAATGAAATGATGTAGCGCGTAGAACAATCAGGATAGTTCACGAAAAAGAATACGAAATATCAAAATATTCAGTCCACAGTTCAGCTAATGTTCATTTATCTTTTATCGTTTCCTTGCAAAAATACGTCGTATTGTCTTTGAAAGAAAATTTATATATTATCAGTAAATCTAAAATACAATACTGGATTTATTTTTCGGTATTGTTTTCTTTTTATAATTTTTCAATTATGTCCAATATTGACGATTACTTGGCTATTGACGTGCAGGGTGGCACTGGTTTTATATAATTATCTTTATTATTTTCAGTGTCATTCACTCTTCAGTATCAACTGAAAATAATAATAATATACAAACAGACTGAGTTGAACGTACACAATCTTGTAATTGGTCAAAGTAACAATTTGCGCCAACTTTATTTTCTTCTTTTTCACTCCGGCCAGTATTGTCGGATAGATATTGGAATTGCTCCCGGTTCTACATCCACCAACAAGTTATACAGGTCCGTGGTTCCTATCCATCCGGACCTACCCATCTCTGATTCTGATGCAAACCACAAAATACATCTACTTCTCGGAAATTATTGAAGTTAAACTTCTTTATCCTGTAGTGGAGAAGTTACGACATAGTGCGGTATTAAAAAAATCTAAAACGTCACATTTTCTTGAAACGTTTCATGGCCGAAGCTGCATACTATTATTTAACTTAATTATGTAAAAAATTAAATAAGAGAAGAATGATACGCCGTGAAGAAGTTTCTCTTCGTACGTGTGTATATAATTACACGCGCAATTTTTTTCTATTCGCCTTGTGAATGACATTATGAGTGACCAAAACAGATGCAATATGGATGTGTTAGTCTTTGTAAGACCAAGCATCAATGTTGTATCAAGATCCTGATATACACGATTTGCTTGGTATATGTAGAAGGAAAAGAAGAAGAAAATACACACAACAATATACAAAGAACAATGGCAGACTTTCATACATAAAATTTGTTGAGAAGGAATAGTAGCGTCTATATATCAAAAATATCTTAAAATGTTAAGCGTCACTCCCTTAATAACTCTGTCAAAGAATTTAGTCCTGAGAAGGCGTCAAAAAAAGATATTTAGATTTGAACTTTTTTATGTTATGTCTTATGTCACTTAAAAAAAGTCATGCGTCCTGTGATTGTTTGATGTTAGCTTAATACGTTATCAACATAATGTGCCCTAAATACATAATTGAGAGTTTTTAGATTATGTATCTCTATTATAATATATTTGCATACTATAAATGTATATTTCTGGCATGGCTCCTGCGCCTTGTGTCATACAGTGACATTCTCAGAAGGGCTAGAACCCAGAGCCGTAAAGCCAGTAAAAAACAACTGTGACATTTTGTTTTAGATAGTGTTGCCATAACATTAAATGGAATTGTTACGTATTACTATGATTGAGATAATGTATTATTGTAGGAAGTTCTTTGTAAGAGACTTATTTCAACCATATCACTTTCATTTTTATTATTACTGATAGTATAGTTATTACAAATAATAACTTAATATAAAAATATTTTGTGTTTGTGTGTTGTGTAGGTAGTCTTAAAAATTGTATACGAAAATAGTATGAATATAGTAAATGGCAACACTTGAATAGAGTAAAATGATTTAAGTCATTTGATATTCCCAAAAATGTTTGCTTTTTTCTGTGGCTTTAATTAAAACACATTTTTATTTGAAAACTTATAGAAAAATAATAAAACTCATTTTATATATAACTTATTTCTAGACGCAATAATTTTTGTCAACTATTTTTCTGCCATTGTTCTTTATAAATTACAATACGTTAATTAAAAAAAATGACTCTATCAGTCAAAGGCATGCTAAAAAAGGACATCACTTAGCATGTGTTGTGTTGAAACCACAACAGTAATCACAGAAAATGTTGGAGAATACAGCCTAGAGAATAAAATAAAATAGAGAGATTTGTACGAAGGGAAAAAGCAATTCTTGTAATTGTACTGAACTGTTTATCAAGCCCGAAAAGCGTGGCAGTCAGACATGCTTACTTTCCTCATAATAACATAAAATATCGCAAACTAAAATTATGTCTATAAAATATACAAGTGTGACTGACCTATATCAATAAAAAAAAAACAAATAATAAAATAGTGAAAGGAAGGTTTATGTTTGCGAACGGTCGTTCGGTCGACAGGACGAGCCAAGCGTGCTTACGCAGTATCCCGCTGTCGGGCGGACGTCCGTGCAGTGCGTGCTTCGCGCCGGGCGACCGGCACGCGCTGGTGGGCTGCGCGGACGGCGCGCTGCTGCTGCTGGACGTGGCGGCCGCGCGCGTGCTGGAGCCCGTGCCCGCACACACCGCCTCTTGCAACTCACTGGGACTCACGCCTGATCTAGTAACTATTTCCTTCTTTGTACATATATTTTACCTTTTAGTCGATGCAACTCCGACGTAATCCGCCTTGCCTGCCTGCCTGCGCTTACAACGTCTTGAAACTCCGTGGCGCTCACGTGATATTACTAGTTTTTTTTATTAAGATAAACTGTTAAGCATTAAATAAACCTGCAACACACTTTGGTAATTCAGACCAACCTATGCAACATGTACAGTAAAATGCGTAGTTGACAATAGTACGTACGAATCTTGTAATAGCTAAGATCTTTTGTTTTATGCTTTTTATATCATACTGCTGGACTGACCGATGGTTGAAAAAAAATTTAAAAAGATTTAATCGTACTCACCATGGGCAGGCTAGGACTATTGGACGTAGAACTGATTACCTTCGCACGTGTAATTTTGCTGTCAAAAATACAAAAATTTATAAACAAGTAATATTTAGGTACAACACACTTAAAAATGCCAACAACATCTAAATAGCCTTCAAGCTGTACAACTTTGGCAGGGATAAATGTAGTTTTGATATATTCTGTGGTAACAACAGAGTAATATCATTCAGTAGTAACAATACCTTAATTTACTTTAATATAGGTGACGACAATTTTCAGCTTTATATTTTCCTTTAAAATAAACTTTGCACTAATATCTATTTTTTAAATTTCAGCGCGGTTGTTACAGTGGCGGTGCAGATAAGACCGTAAAGTTATGGCAGTTTGAACTTATTCCTGATCCAACCGGCGAATCTAAAGCCAAGGTTTTGATTTATTAACATTTTAGTCAAATAATATCATTTAATTTACATACGTCTAAATAATGATTTTTATGTATAAACTGACAGTACAAGCCACTAAACTTTCTTTCATTTTAGGTTCTCTCCCTTCTTCACACAAGAACGCTAGAGTTGGAAGAGGTAGTGTGTGCTGTTAAGATAAGTCCAAATAACAAATTCATTGCGGTGGCGCTGATGGATTCCACAGTGAAGATATTCTTCCTTGATACCTTTAAGGTATTTGAGAATTTATTGTAAACAATGCTTCAAATATTTTCATTTATCTATTGTTTCGTTGAATATTAAAATTTACGTATTGTTTCTACTTATAAGGCATAAGAGGATATTCTGGCTGCAAGAAATATGAATATAAGTTTTTTTTTTAAATCTGTTACTTTCATGCTGTGTCCAATGACTGAACTAGAACACTTCGAGAGACTACCTTATAACGCATAAGAGGATATTCTGGCTGCAAGAAATATGAATATAAGTTTTTTTAAATCTATTACTTTCATGCTGTGTCCAATGACTGAACTAGAACACTTCGAGAGACTACTGCAGCTCGGACTGGTTATATCTGTAAAAAAATGTTGCAATCATCATACCACATTTCCCTGTTTCCTCTTCCAAAATTAAACAAATTCCATTTTTTTTTAATAACAATATAAGAAGAATTCTGGCTGTTGTATGCTGTTTCAAAACTACGATATAACTGGACAGTCTAACAAATTTTATATGGTTCCTCATTTATAAGGAAAAAACAAAAAATTGAAATATGACAGTCATCATCATCATCATTACAGCCCTTCACAAGTTCACTGCTGAACATAGGCCTCCCCCAAAGAATGCCACAAAGCACGGTCCTGAGCCACCTGCATCCATCGACTTCCTGCATGTCTTACCAGGTCGTCACTCCATCTCGTGGGGGGACGCCCTACACTTCGCCTACCGGTACGAGGCTGCCACTCGAGAACCTTTCTTCCCCATCGGTTGTCGGTTCTTCGAGCTATATGGCCGGCCCACTGCCACTTCAGCTTACTAATTCGTTGGGCTATGTCGGTTATTCTGGTTCTACTGCGGATATCCTCATTCCTAAGTTTATCACGCAGAGAAACTCCGAGCATAGCCCTCTCCATAGCTCGCTGAGCGACCTTGAGCTTCCTCATACGGCCAGCAGTGAAGGACCACGTCTCAGTTCCGTAAGTCATCACTGGCAACACGCACTGGTTGTACAATTTCGTTTTAAGGTTTTGAGGTATGTCTGACGAGAAGATGTGTCGTAGCTTCCCGAACGCTGCCCAGCCGAGTTGAATCCGTCGATTGACCTCTCGGTCGAAGTTGGACTTACCTAGTCGGACTATTTGTCCCAGGTAAACATACTCGTCAACAACTTCGAGCTTAGTGCTCCCAACAACTACCGGCATAGGTGTGACATGGACATTAAACATAATCTTTGTTTTGTCCATGTTCATCTTAAGACCTATCCGTTGGGAAACACTATTGAGGTCATTGAGCATAGTGCTTAGGTCCTCCAGCGATTCTGCCATAAGGACTATATCGTCGGCAAATCGAAGGTGTGTGATGTACTCGCCATTGATGTTAATACCGTACCCTTTCCAGTCCAGAAGCTTGAAAACGTCTTCCAATGCAGCGGTGAAGAGTTTCGGGGATATGACGTCACCCTGTCTTACACCTCTCTGCAATTGGATAGGTTTCGTACTCTGGTTCTGTACTCGGATAGCCATCGTAGCCCTACTGTACAAGCACTTCAACACTTCGATATACCGACAGTCAACTTGGCACCGCTGAAGGGACTGCAGCACCGCCCAAATTTCGACGGAATCAAAGACTTTCTCATAGTCCACATACGCCAGACATAGTGGCAAATTGTACTCTTCGGACTTCTGTACAACTTGCCGAAGGGTATGTATGTGGTCTATGGTGCTAAAGCCCTTTCGGAAACCGGCTTGTTCGGGAGGCTGGAAGTCGTCAAGTCTGCGCGCGAGACGATTCGTAATGACTCTCGAAAACAGCACGTAGACGCGGCTCAGAAGGGAAATCGGTCTGTAGTTCTTCAAGAGAGCGTTGTCACCTTTCTTGAAGAACAAGACCACCGCACTTCTGCTCCACGCCTCCGGTGTAATGCCACCATGGAGGACGGAATTAAAGAGCTTCTGAAGGACTTCAAGTACCGGTCTTCCACCCGCTTACAGAAGCTCCGCTGTAATTCCATCCTCGCCTGGGGCCTTACCATTTTTAAGGTGCTGGAGAGCCATTCTAATCTCGCTCAGACTGACGTCCGGGATATCTTCGGAATAGTGTCGGATGAGACTCGCTCTTGGATCGTTACTCACACTTGCGTGTGGCTCCAACGATGACGTGTACAGCTGCCCATAGAACCTCTCAATCTCACTCAAAATCTCAGGTGTCCCGGAAACGATGCTGCCACATTCTGTCTTCAGCTTTGACAGTTGGCTCTTTCTGGCAGACAGATCTCTGGCAAAGACTTTGGAGCCTTGGTTCCGCTCGATCGCTTCTTCAATACAAGCTGTATTGAAGTTGCGTAAGTCCCGCCGCATGCATTTGGAGATCTGTCTGTTCAGATGCCTGTATGCTGTCAAGTCTGTTGAAGAATGTAGCTTCATCTCCCGTCTAACAGCCATGAGATTAAGAGTGTGATCGGAGAGTTTTTGTGTTCTTCTGCGGCGGGTCTTGCAGAACTTAGCTCCGACCGCATGGACAGTTTCCACGAGCTTGTCATTCATATCGTCCACTTCATTGCAGTCTTCTAGGCACTGAAAACGGTTTTGTAACTCGAGCTGAAAGGTTTCGGGACTTTGGATTAGAGCACGAGGGGGACGGAGCGTTGACTTCATTAGACGAGACCTCTCCAACTTAACGTTTAGGTTCAGTGTGCCTCTAACCATTCGGTGATCGCTACCAGTTTTCACCCTTGCGATCACGGAGACATCACTGAACAGTTGTCGTCTGGTCGTCATAATGAAGTCAATCTCATTTTTTGTCGAACCGTCGGGGCTCGACCAGGTCCACTTCCTGTGGGGCCGCTTCTGGAAGAAAGAGTTCATCATAAAGAGTCCCTCTTTCTCCATGAAGTCGGCCAGCTGCTGGCCCCTTGGGTTCCGTTGCCCTATTCCAAATTTCCCTACTTTCAGCTCACCGTTCTCTCTTGTGCCTAGTTTTGCATTGAAGTCTCCCATTAACACCGTATATTGGGTTTTGGAGGAATGCATGGCTCTAGAGATATCCTCATACATTTCCTCCACCTCCTGATCGGGGTGTGCCGAGGTTGGTGCGTAAACCTGTATGACCTTCAGCGAATACCGTTTGGTGATTCTGAGTATAAGGTACGCAACCCTCGTCGACACACTCCCGATCTTTACAACGTTGTTAACGAGAGACTTGTGGACGATAAATCCGACACCTCCTTGGGACAGATGGTCGCCCTCCCGGTGATAGAGCAAGTTGCCGGATTCGAGGATTACCGTGTCCTCCCCCTCTCTTCGGACTTCGGATAATCCTATAATATGCCAGCGCAACTTGTCTATCTCTTCTTCCAGCTCCACGATCTTCTCGTCAGTCCTCAGGGTGCGTGCGTTGTACGTTGCCAGGTCGAGTCGTCTAAGGTGGCAACCGAACCTCCACCGGAGATTCTTAGCACCCCCTGCCCCGCCGTTACCATGGTCGCCACCGTAGCCAGGAATAGCGGGGCCGCCGGGGACTGGGGGCCGTCTGTTTGTTGCTTTAGTCATTGGGGGGTATTTGCCATAGTTGCCACGCTTGGCGAGCGGGTTGGCAACCGCGGTTGTTTTATTACAATTTTTGGCTATTATGAGGAAGATGCTGCTGCCCATCTTCTGCCTGTTTCCCTTTGTCGCCTTTTACGACACCCACGGGAGGATATGGGGTAGTGGATATTCTTGACCGCCACTACACGGCTACAATATGACAGTGGTAGATTGTATTCGTCATCATCATCATCACCATTACAGCTCATCATAAGTTCACTTCTGAACATGACCTCATCCAAGGAATGCCACAAAGCACGGCCCTGGACCATCTGCATACAATGAGTTCTTGCAGTGCCATATACGTCAATAGCTTGTATGATAAAAAAATATTAATTAATAGAGAAAACAGAAGAATACGTTTGTATGGACTAAACGCCGCACGGAACGCTCTTAACTAAGTTAACAATAAATTGATTTTCAGTTTTACCTATCACTCTACGGGCACAAACTGCCCGTCCTCTGTCTGGACATCAGCTACGACTCTAACCTCATCGCGACCGGTTCAGCGGATCGTAACGTCAAGATCTGGGGCATGGACTTCGGTGATTGCCATAAGTCGATATTCGCGCACAACGATTCCGTCACCGCACTCCAGTTTGTGCCGAACACTCACTATTTCTTCACCGGCTCTAAAGACGGCAAGATCAAGCAATGGGATGCTGATACTTATGACAATATAATAACTCTCAATGTGAGTATGTTTAACTTTATATATTTTTTATTTAAGAATGTTCATGAAATACTAAAAAAATACATTTAAAGTGAGATCATACGGTCAGTTGCAGTGGCATTTAAAAATTTGCAGTATGTCACATTTGACGCGATGTAACGCTGGATCTGCAACACAATCAACTAAACTCAATAGTTTTTAATAGAACTAATTATACGGATTTTATCGCGTTTAATTTAATTGATTTTATCTTTTTCAATTCCGGTGTCACGGCGATGACAGCTGTTTGACGTTCTGATGTCATAGTTAACGATGGCTGCCTTCAATTTTTAACTAGTTTAAATTAAACTACCGCGTTTAATTTCTTTTTTAATTTAAAAATCGGTAAAATTAAAATTAGAAGTAGTATTATTTTATAAATATTAGAAATCATTATGCAAACTATTAAATGTGTAGTGGTGGTGTAAGAATATTCACTGCACCATATCGTCCCATGTCGTAAGAGGTGATAAGACTGCAGACGTTAGTGAACACGTATAAGACGCCTTCGTCATTACATCAGATTAGATAGACCACAAATCCTCGCTAAAGAACATTGATTCTTCCAGGGATGATTCGCGAGGCTATTGAAATCAAAAAATATCCTAATTTCAATAGAGAAGATGGCTGGGTGCTAACATCTGCTTGGGGTACTAAAATTAAATCGCAACCCAAAGCATACAACTGCAAGACTTCAAGATACCATAAGTTCATACTGCGTAGATCAGAAAAAAATTAATAATTTTAATCTGGAGGTAGGCGTGGTTAACTATGACATTGGGACGTCGAACATCTCAGACCCCCCGTGACTGCGGGTGCTGTAAAGTGCTCGAAACGTCGGGAATATAAAATAAGTTAATATACGCGATAGAATCCATAGAAAAAAGGTTTTATTTAAATGTGTAATGTTCGCGTAAATATAAAAAGTCATTATTCACTACCTTATATCGTCCCGAATATGGACAGCAACAATTATCTAATAACAAAATTGTTGCGCTTGCCAAGCGGCAACTATGGTATATATCCCATAATTAAGCAGAGGAATTTCGATAGGTAGTAGCAGTAATGGCTTTTAAGAAACAATTTACTTATGTTCCTTTTTTGACAACAAAATCATTAAATTCTTCTCGTACTGTCGCCGAATCATTGCTTAAACAAACTGTAAAAATAAAATACTTTTAAATTCCATAGAGTATTGCCAAAGGATATCGTTAAATATTTTTAAACTATTGATACTAAGAAAACGGCAGACTTGTGGGGGATTTCCGTTAAAGTTATTTTACCTATAATAGATATAATGGTACCTTATCTAGCCACTATATTTACTACAAACGTCGAATCTAGTGTTTCCTGATTTAATGAAACATAGTAAAGTCATACCTTTATTGAAATCTGGTTGTAAATTAGCCCCCGCCAATTTTAGATCAGTTTCTGTACTACCTATATTTAGTAAATTTTTGAAAAAATAATTTTAGATCAGATGTTAAGTTTTTTTTAATATTAATAACCTGCTTCATAAAAATCAATTTGGTATTACAAGGGGTTGCTCGACAACTGATGCTGGAGTTAAGCTTATTAAACATATTTTTGTGCATGGGAGAATTCAGAGGATGCTTTGGGTATATATTGTAACCTTTCCAATGCCTTCGACTGTGTTCACCATGAGCCATTAATCAGGAAGCTACAGTACTATGGTGTCAAGAACACAGTGCTTAAACTTATTATTTCATATGTAGAATGCAGAAAGTTTTATGAATGGTAAAATTCTTCCGGGTCACCTATACTCAAGGTGTCCCTCAAGGCTCAATTCTTGGCCCATTCCTATTTCTAGTGTATATTAATGACTTACCGTTCCTTGTAGGAGATAGTCATGACTCATGATATAGTATTATTTGCTGATGATACTTCCTTGACTCTTAAACTTAAACATCAATCATTTAAATGTGACAAAGTGAATAATGCTATATCTAAATTAGTGCATTGGTTTAACGTTGATAATCTACATTTAAACGGAAATAAAACTAAATGTATTAAATTCACAACATCGAATGTTAAAAAACTGAATACCTATGTGTTTTTAAATAGGAAAGAATTGAGCCTTGTTGAATCCACTGTTTTTCTTGGCATCGCTATCGACGCAAACCTTTAGTGGGGCCCCCATATATCCAAACTAGCAAGCGAATTAAGTTCTGCAGCTTATGCTGTAGTGTCGAGACAGCTAGATTAGTTTATTTCAGTTATTTCAGTACATTACATGTAAAATTTACTTTAAAAAAAGTCCCGTTGGGTTTCTTGCTGGTTCTTTCCAGGATATAGGTTTTTTTCTTCGAACCAGTGGTAAAATAAAAAATGGTCTTCGATAAAAATTACACATATGATCTATATTGTATAAAAATTATTCTATTCTATTCTATTCTATTCTAATGGTTAAGCTTTGGGTTCCTAGGATTGCGGCGCCGGTATATGATGGCCGTAATAAAGTGGTGAATGAAGACATTATAACGTTATAATTAATAGAATCAGGCGTTAATATGCGGAAATCCATTATATAAAAGGTTTGATATAGGATGTTTGCGAAGTAACTTTTTAAAACCTTTTACATTATAACGTTGTTTATGTAAATAAGATTGGGTGGTTTCCTACAGAGCGGTTTTTTTACAACGTAACGTCAAAATGTGATGTTTTTCGATAGCGGTGACGGGTGACGATAAATATAATAAAGCTCCAACATCAACAGCACTGCTCCAGTTGAAAAATGACGAAATTTTAATAGATTTTGTGAAAAGAATACGATACATTTCTGGGGGTTTATTCAAAAAAAAGGTGGCCTTAGGGGTGATGGTACTTACCAGGTGTCGTCACAGTAAAGACGGGCGTCTTTTTGCGGGTGCTATATGACAGTACCGTAACGTCAGGAAACCAGAGCTTTAGTTAGTTGTGAGTGTGGTGGTTGTGGCGGTTGTGGTGAGCGTGGTGTGGTGTGCCAGAGGAAAAGATATTAATCCCTCAGCATCGTATTGGATCAAATAAATCAAATACGCAAAAAAGAAATGAAGTGTGAAGCCTGTAAAATTTAAAACATGGACCTATACAAAATTGCCAAGTATCCGATGTTGAAATAGTAAATTAAACTGGACATTCATCAATGTCTGGTCTAATTTACTTATCGTTGATCAAGAGATTATAAGAGTTATTTATCAGCGCTTTACTACAGTTTTTTTTAAATTTCATTAAATGTTAACGCATTGTTATGTTTGCTAATTTAAGTCGATTGTTTATTTAATTAAATTTTTATGCACAAAAGAAAAATCGTACATATGGTGGACTTCTCTCCCAGTCAACCATTAGGCTAAGCAGAGGTAAACATATGGGAGGTAGTGCATCAAAAGTAAACTAATAATGAGAAAAAAAGGTAAAGAAGTTTGAATAAAGCAGAATATATATATTGCGTTGGTATGTATCGTAAAGATGTAAGTGTGGTGCAGGGGCACGCGGGCGCGTGCTGGGGCGTGTGCGTGGGCGCGGGCGGGCTGCACGGCGCGTCGTGCGGCGCGGACGGCGCGCTGCGCCTGCTGGCGCGCACCGACGAGCCGCTCGTGCTCGGCGACACCGACGACGCCGACGAGCCGCTCGCCACCGGCGAACAACACGTCAGCCACATCCTTTATAAACCTGAACGCACATTTGTCAGCACGTACGCGCCGCACGCGCCGTACGCACCGCATTTTAGAATTCGTTGTATGAAATTATATGAAATCTCGCACATTGCAGCAGCAGCGTATTGTCCGTTTATAAAATAGGGTAGGTATCCGAATATTGAAAAAGGCATGTATATGACGTCGTACAACGCGGCGCGTTCGGCGCGTGCTAATATTCAGTGTTATCTAATTTTGCCAACTCAGCGAATTTTCCACTAAAACTGCTGGTTCCGACTTTTATTTCGAAATATATTTTATACTAGCTGTCCCCCGCGACATCACCCGCGTGGAATTTATTAAGATTGGATTTCATAGGTTTTAATTTTTTGTGCGGAACCCTTATTCTTTTTCTAAAATCAAAGTAGTAGGTACGTATATAAGTACTCCTTATAAAATCAGCTATCTCCCAGTGAAAGTCCCGTTAAAATCGGTAAAGTCGTTTCGGAGATTAGTCAAAATAAACATACAGACAGACAAAAATTTTAAAATCGTTTCATTGTTATTAGTATCGTATATACTTTCATATGCATTTAGTAAAAAGCTGTTATTTTGACATTAAAAACCGACACTTCCATTTTATTTATTTGTATAGATAGATTTTAGTATATGTAGCAATTCTTGAATTTTCTTGTATGTCAAATGCAAATATCTAAAAACCGTTCATCATCATCTAATATGTCTTTAAATAAAATATAATATTCATACATAAGTATAACATCCATACAACTGTCTTTTTAAAATAATATTGTGTATCCAGTCTTGTTTTTCTTCGAATTTTATTTTCTTCTTCCTCTGCCAATAAGCAGGCTATTACAACATTTTTTTTTCTATAGCGATCCGAACGATTCCGAATGATCAATATCACTGTACCGTTTCACACCAGTGGTTGGAAAAAACTGCAAAACTTGTTGACAATACAAAAGATTTGTGTACGGCGCGTACGTGCCAATGTGCGAGGCAATCAGTAAATGCAGCGCGAACGGCGCGCGCAGTGTGTACGGTGCTGACAAATGTGTGTTCAGCTTAACATGCTTTTATTAGCTTTATTTGACTCTATCTATCTATGTAACGGAATCTTTTAATGTCCTTTTCACCAACTTGTAGACAGACAATTGACTTGAAAATTTGTGCTCGTGTCAACGATCGATGACAATACAATACAACGTGGTAGAAGAGCTATGCCGCAGCAATATTATGATTGTAGCACAAATGTGTCAGCTCGACCGAAGAAGGAACACGTTTTCACAAAGTAGCAGCTTAATGCTACTATTTCGTATGGTAAGTGTAGATAAGCAGAGACCCTTTTTACTAGAAACGAAACATTCCATCTCAGTGCTCAAGGATGACAACGCATCTGCATTTTTATGGTTCCATAGTTACACAACAAGAAAAAAGTTTCGCCATGTCCATCTGTCCGTCCGTGCGTCCGTCCACGGTTTTACTCAGAGACCCTAGGTGCTACAAATTTGTAATTTGGTACAGTTAAAAATATTAATCACGCCTACAAAAGTGTGAAATAAAATAAAAAATAAAACATTTTTAATTTGGGTACCTCTAATACAGGCAAATGGATCTATTACATCGTATGGAGTGTCGTTAGATAGGTCTTTCAAAATCACTGGGGGTATGGAACAACATCTTTTCGATTCAAGGGTCCGTTTGCGAAATATTTAGCTTTAACTACTCAACCGTCCACGGTGACTACAGTCACAGCGGTGACACTCATTGTACGCGAGAGTTTAAGCGCCGGTGGCATTTAGGCGGGGCGTGCAACGCTAGGGTTGATACCGAATCGAAATGGAATATTATAGACTTGTGCTAAAGAAAATACATAGTAGGTATATGTTATATAATGCAAACTTATGTATTTAGGTAGTGAAAGATACGATCAATTTTAAATCAAGTTTTATTAAATATCTTTACAGATGGGGAATATTAAAATTTCCGACAAAACAAAATATGCGCGGCAGTAAATGATAATATTAAATAATTAACTAACACTTAGAATTTCAGTACGCAATAATCAGTATTACCTACTACCCTTTAAAAATTACTTAGTCTTATATATTTTTGACTTTTTCGATGACTTTTATAATTTTTATTATTATTTCTAACAATTGCAAAAATTCGTAGCCGTATGTATATTCTTTTTAGAAAATCCATAGGGCAGCATAGATACATAGATAGATAACACTTTATTGTACGCCAAAAAATTACATAAATACTAACAAAAAACGAGAAAAAGAAATGTGGTATGGTATCACATTTATTTTACTCATTTTTTGTTAGAAATATAGAATGGTATATAAGAACATAGACAAGATAAATACATACATACATATTAATATATATGTATATATATATATATATATATATATATATATATATATATATATATATATATATATATATATATATAGATATATAAATATATATTTTTATAACTATAAATATATAAAAGTACAAATATATACTCTAAAACTATTACATATAACATAAATGTGCCATACTTATAAACGAGACGCGAACTACTATGTACCAGCCCTCGGCCGGAGCAGTCGACGACGGTCCGTTCCACGCCACGCGCGCCTCTCAAGGCCCCCGCACACATCCATACACCTACACATAGCCGCAAGCGATTTTACGTGCACACATGCTTAAGTGTCGTTTCTTTTCGCGTAGTATATATTTTCTTTGTTACAGTCCCCAAAAACAATTATTGCCTCACCTGTCCATAGTGGCTAAAGTCACCAAATGACATCTTTCGGTTTAAACGTGTATAGCGCAAAAGATAGCTGTTATTAATACAGTAAAAAATTATAGATGGTGCTAATTTTTTAACAGTAAATACATTTATTGATTAAGTTTATATAACATCACACTCTACTACCACCGCTTGCACTCATTGGTCAAATCATATAGCGCGCGCGCGGCTTCGTGTTACACATTTCCGTCCCTTTTCACGAAATCACTCCCACAGATAGCAAGAAAGCGAGAGGAAAGATGTTACACATCAAAAATCAAGACCTACATTTTTGTATGTATTTTCCGGCGCCAGTCGGTCACTAGTCTCGTCCGTGAATTAGCAGCGTGTTCTGCGGGCAGGTGAGGTGGATATTTAGAGAAAAATTACATTCTCCGTTGCAGGACCTACTTACTATACACGTTTTAACTTATAACATGCTTCATTGTTAATACAGAACATTTTTACTTCCAGGCGCCTGTTCCAGGATTACCAGGATTAAATATGCCAACAAAGAAAACAATAGGTGCAGAAAAAGCTGTAAGTATCATTATTCTTTTTTTTTAATTCAAACCCCTTATATAAATGTAATATATTATTTATTGCTCCAAAAATACTGAATAATTATTTTAATTGTGAGTAATTTTGTACATGGGTTTGATTATTTACAAACTATAAACTTAATGCAACCATGGTTTGTCAAACTTATTAATAGCTTGTTGTTTGTTACCGCTTTCATTATCTTCATCAACCCGTGAGATGTACACTGCTGTCACTCCTTTGCGTTAGTCGCCACGCTGGGTAGGTGGGTGTTCGTAATACCTCCAGTCTCACTTGACCTTTAACACTTTCTTCTAGCTTGTCTTACCTAGGGGATGATATGAAATGATGTATTTATCATACGCCATAACTACGGCAGTTGTGATATGTAAAATGTTATATATTATGTTCATAGGCCGATTCAATATTGGAATGCCTGTCGGTGGGTGCAGAATATGAACGGCAGGTGGCCGAGGCGAGAGGGCAACCCGTGCAGCCCCCTTTGCTCATGGCGGCCTACAATTGTAACTCCGCAGAGGATTTCTTACTAGAGATTCTTAAAAAAATACGTTCTAGGTAAGAAGGCTATTATTAATTTGTGTCAAATATCAGTTGTAGTTTAGATGTTTTTGCTTTCTGTTATAATTATTTAGCTCGAAGTAAATATACACATACATTTACCGCTCTGTTGTGACTGGCACCAAAGGTATTTTAACATTTTACTTTCTATCTATCATGTGATTGATATTAGCAGATATTCTTCGTCATACATTTTTTTTTTGACGCAGAACTAACATTAGACCTGATGGTCATAAGCTTCTGCAGCCAACTAAATTTCGTGCTAGTCGTTAACGCTAAAACAAGTTCTATTTTTTATGCTTGAACAAATAAGGCGCCATTGTAAATCTCGTGTACTCTTTTTTTACCTTCGAACTGATCTTGAGTTCAGTGCAGTGATTAGTTGACTGCCTCGTTGTCTATTGGTCGTAGGCGCGACTGCTGATCATGAAGTTCCGGGTTAGAATTTCAAGGTCGAGCCAAAATCAGTTATCGGATTTTTAAAAAAAATTGTAGTAATGCTACACTACTAATATTCCCTTTAACCACTTCTGGTAAGCTTAAAATGCTTGTGTTAGAAGTGGTTCACGACAGTATTCGAATAGCGGATTCGAACCCACGACTTTTCGAGTTCGTGCTCCGCGCCCTGCCATTAGGCTACTGATGCTTTTTTCTTCTGTGAAGAAGGTCACAGTTTGAAATTGAATTGAAAATCTCGATTTCCTCCATTCCATGGATACCTGGATGATTAACGGTCTACCACTGTGCTATTTACCAGAAGTTTTCTTTTGCGCACAATTTCCTTGTGGAATCGGCTACCACTAGTGGTTTTTCGGGTCGATACGATTTAAGACTTAAGTCGGTAACGCATTTGCAAATCTTCTGGAGTTGCAGTTGCCCACGGGCGGCGATAATCATTTACTACCTGGTGAACTGCATGCTTGGTTGCTTACTCTAATATATAAAAAAAAAATATAGTATAGTATAAGGGTGACAAATGAGCATACAGTCCATCTGATGGTAAGTGGTTGCTGTGGCCCATAGACATTTACTTTCTCTTATCTATTTTCGATTACGAATCAAAATGCAGATGCGTTGTCACCCGTGAGGACTATGATGGAATGCCTCGTTTCCAATAAAAATGGTATCTGGTTCTCTACACTCACCATACGAAACAAAGTAGTGTTAAGCTGCTATTTTAAGCTGGTATTCTGTGAGGGTGTGGTTCTTCCTCGGTCGAGCGGAGCCATTCGTGCTACAACTATACCACTAATATAGCTGAAGCATGGCTCTACCACGTATAAAAGGTAACGAAAGGATAATTTTAAAATAGCTTATAATAAACCTTATGGGCGTTCTTAAAAAAATGATCATGACTAGACGGGTTCTGCTAGTATAGAGGTGTGAGCAGGAGTGTGGATGCGTGATGTTCGCAGCGAGCTGGAGGAGGCGCTGCTGCTGCTGCCGCTGAGCGCGGCGGGCGAGGCGCTGCGGCTGGCGGGCGCGCTGCTGGAGCGCGGCGCGTGCGCCGAGCTGGTGAGCCGCGCCGCGCTCTTCCTGCTGCGCCTGCACCGCGCGCCGCTGGCTGCCAACCCGCGCCTGCTCAAGCACCTCATACAGATACAGGCCAAGGCCGCCATACGCATCAACGAGCTGCGGGTCCGAGCCACACTCACGCATTCAATCATTTTACCTTGCATATATTTTTTATAGTAATAAGGTGACAAACGAGCACACAGTTCACCTGATAGTAAGTGGATGCTACGGTCCATAAACATCTACATCTATCTTCAATTAAAAATTAAAACGCAGATGTATTGTCACCTTCGAGGACTAAGATGGAATGCCTCGCTTCCAATAAAACTGGTCTCCTGTTCTCTACACTCACCACACGAACTTCAACTATTATTTGAAGCTGAAATTCTAAATTAATTATTATGTCAAATACACATTGACAAATACAAGTCCTAGTACTTGAAATAAAATGAAATTTGTTTTTTTCAACGACTACATTTATATATGCGTTTTGCTTAAATTTCATATAAAAATATACTGTCACAAATCACTCACTACTCAGTTTATATAATGCTGGTTGTGAACAACCAAATATAAACTTTAACTAGAACCATCCAGTAATTAGATCAACCTATGAATGAAATACTTTTAATGACCGTAATTTATTTATTACATTAAAAAAAAAACAAAGAAAAGCAGAACTACAATGTATGAAATAAAAAATAAAAACTAGCAAATATAGCACAAAATGAAATTAAAAACATATTGTTTTGCAGCACAAGTGATATTATAACAAACATTTTATCTCTAAAAAACATTTCATATCAGTGCCAACGAGATACATTTTTTTAACAATCTCGCTAAAATATTCACAAGGTAAAAAAGTAGATACTACACTAATGTTAAACACTCGCTGCCCGGAGTGCAATAAAATGGTGAAACAGGACGCCGTCTGTTGCGCTCTCTATCGCACTTGTGAGCCTTATAGCAGGCCTATAGTGACCACTGTCGTGTTGATGTGTTTATTATAAAGAAGTAAGGAATGCAATATAAAAACAACTCTTCAATAATTACATTTATTATTGGTCAGAATTAAATACTGGAACTAAATAAAATGAATAAAAATTTAAAATAGGTATAAAATAATTAATCTTCGTCCGAGTCACTGTCGCTATCGTCAGCTACGCTAACGACAAGAAGCTCACATAAATTGTGCTTTCTGTAAATCTTCTTGAAATTTTCGTCGTGTAGAACATATTGTCGCCAATTTTCCAGTTACATTTTTAATGGCTGTGTGAATTAATTGCCCCACGTCAGAATTGTTGTACGTGGTATTTTTACTCGCCACTTTTTCTTTTCATCATCATCATCATTACAGCCCTTCACAAGTCCACTGCTGAACATAGGCCTCCCCCAAGGAGTGCCACAAAGCACGGTCCTGAGCCACCTGCATCCATCGACTTCCTGCATGTCTTACCAGGTCGTCACTCCATCTAGTGGGGGGACGCCCTACACTTCGTCCGCCGGTACGAGGCTGCCACTCGAGAACCTTTTTTACCCATCGGTTGTCGGTTCTTCGAGCTATATGGCTGGCCCATTGCCTCATGCCCATGGCCCATTGCTCTGCAATTGGATAGGTTTTGTACTCTGGTTCTGTACTCTGGTTCTGTACTAGGATAGCCATCGTAGCCCTACTGTACAAGCACTTCAGCACTTCGATATACCGACAGTCAATTTGGCACCGCTGATGGTACTGCAGCACCACCCGAATTTCGACGGAATCAAAGGCTTTCTCATAGTCCACATACGCCATACATAGTGGCAAATTGTACTCCTTGGACTTCTGTACAATTTGCCGAATGGTATGTATGTGGTCTATGGTGCTAAAGCCCTATCGGAAACCGGCTTGTTCGGGAGGTTGCAAGTCGTCAAGTCTGCGCGCAAGACGATTCGTAATGACTGGAAAACAGCACGTAGATGCGGCTCCGAAAGGAAATCGGTCTGTAGTTCTTCAAGAAAGCGTTGTCACCTTTCTTGAAGAACAAGACCACCGCACTTCTGCTCCACGCCTCCGGTGTAATGCCACCATGGAGGACGGAATTAAAGAGCTTTTGAAGGACTTCAAGTACCGGTTTTCACCCGCTTTCAGAAGCTCCGCTGTAATTCCATCCTAGCCTGGGGCCTTGCCGTTTTTAAGGTGCTGGAGAGCCATTCTAATCTCGTTCATACTGACGACCGGGATATCATCGGAATAGTGTCGGATAAGACTCGCTTTTGGATCGTTACTCACACTTGCGTGTGGCTCCAACGATGATGTGTACAGCTGCCCATAGAACCTCTCAATCTCACTCAAAATCTCTGGTGTACCGGAAACGACGCTGCCACACTCGTTCTTCAGCTTCGACAGTTGGCTCTTTCCGGCAGACAGATCTCTAGCAAAGACGTTGGAGCCCTGGTTCCGCTCTATCGCTTCTTCAATACGAGCAGTATTAAAGTTGCGTAAGTCCCGCTGCATGCATTTGGAGATCTGTCTGTTCAGTTGCCTCTATGCTGTCAAATCTACTGAAGACTGCAGCTTCATAACCCGTCTAACAGCCATGAGATTAAGAGTGTGATCGGAGAGTTTTTGTGTTCTTCTGCGGCGGGTCTTGCAAAACTTAGCTCCGACCGCATGGACAGTTTCCACGAGCTTGTCATTCATATCGTCCACTGCATTGCAATCTTCTAGGCACTGAAAACGGTTTCGTAGCTCGAGCTGAAATGTTTCGGGACTGGATTAGAGCACGAGGGGGACGGAGTGTTGACTTCATCAGACGTGACCTCTCCGACTTAACGTTTAGGTTCAGTGTGCCTCTCACCATTCGGTGATCGCTGCCGGTTTTCACTCTCGCGATCACTGAGACATCATTGAACAGTTGTCGTTTGGTCGTCATAATGAAGTCAATCTCATTTTTTGTCGAACCGTCGGGGCTCGACCAGGTCCACTTTCTGTGGGCCGCTTCTGGAAGAAGGAGTTCATCATAAAGAGTCCCTCTTTCTCCATAAAGTCGGCCAGCTGCTGGCCCCTCGGGTTCCGTTGCCCTATTCCGAATTTCCCTACTTTCAGCTCACCGTTCTCTCTTGTGCCTAGTTTTGCGTTGAAGTCTCCCGTTAACACTGTATAGTTTTGGAGGAATGCATGGCTCTAGAGATATCCTAATACATTTTCTCCACCTCCTCATCGGGGTGTGTCGAGGTTGGTGCGTAAACCTGTATGACCTTCAGCGAATACCGTTTGGTGATTCTGAGTATAAGGTACGCAACCCTCGTCGACACGCTCCCGATCTGTACAACGTTCTTAACGAGAGACTTGTGGACGATAAATCCGACACCTCCTTGGGACAGATGGTCGCTCTCCCAGTGATAGAACAAGTTGCCGGATTCGAGGATTACCGTGTCCTCCCCGTCTCTTCGGACCTCAGATAGTCCTATAATATTCCAGCGCAACTTGTCTATCTCTTCTTCCAGCTCCAGGATCTTCTCGTCAGTCCTCAGGGTGCGTGCGTTATAAGTTGCTAGGTCGAGTCGTTGTAGGTGGCAACCGAACCTCCACCGGAGATTCTTAGCACCCCCTGCCCCGCCGTTACCATGGTCGTACTTGCACCCATATCAGTTCTAATGGATTGTATTGGCAAGCCAATAACTTCGTGGCCCATTGTTTTGCCAATTGATCCAAATATATAATTTATCCGGGCGATGTCTTTCAACTTTCTGTAAAAGTTCAACCTTAAGCTCTAACTGGAATAGTTTCCTGTCTGAACGAGTTCTGTATTTCACATTTCACATAATATTGGTTTCCAAAAAAGCGTCCATTTTAACTTATGTTAAATCAATAATCAGCAACATCCAAGTGTCACATGACTATAGAGGCATATTAAAACGTGTATTAATAAACTACCACGCGCCAGCGCACACTATTCTTCATCCTACTAGGAATCAATAAGCGGTTATCGATAAGTGAAACCGCACGCGTCTGTCCCTAGCGCACCGATGATTTATGTCACGCGGGTAGCGAGTGTTTACCATTACTTTACTAATTTATTTTATATTAATTTTATAAATTGCTTACTAAATACAGCGTGAGTGCATTCCACTCCGCCCACATACTCGCTTTCCTATAGTATTAATATAAATCTTCATTGCATTCCCTATAACAATAACATTTTATTAATTATATTTATGCTAGGTAGCAGAACTACTTTTCTGTCTAGATGTTCGTCTGTGTAGGTACTACCCTCTTACCTATTTCTGCCGCCAAATTACTTGCACTGAATGGTTATTGAGAGCCACTATGATTACAGGCTGTCAGGCTTTTCGTGTTAGGCCCGTATTAATAAACAAGTACACGCACTTGAGTACAATCTTGAGGTTATAATCTTATTAATAAATATATCTCAAGATGCGGTTTAGGTTTACGATATCAGCTGAGTGCCACACTGATTAATAAACGAAACTCGACTCTCAAGTGTGTGTACTTGAGTGCAAGTCACAGATCAGTATTCCTAAGTACAGCGTTTTGAGATACTGTTTTTATGTGTTTATTAATTACCAACGATCTTGAGATGCTATTATCGTAATGAGGGCATGTCAAATGATTACGCATTGAGTTTGTCGTTGAGTAACGTTTGTTAATACGGGCCTTAGTCCTTTAGAAGTGACAACGCATCTGTAGCCTTCTTTGATTGAAGGTCTCTACGGACCGCAGGAGGAGCCACTTACCATCACGTGGACTGTAAGTTTGTAGTCACTTCAGTTCTACGAAAAAAAACAAGGATATAAAGGGCGGACTTAATGTCTATAGGCATTATGTACTAGTCAACCCATAGAGTGGTGAGATATGACGTAGATGTAACAGTTAAAACAAAAAAATTATCCGTATTTTGTGACTATTTGCGCAGATTTTTATAATAAAAATCGGAGTTGATATCATAATTTTTGTTGTTGAGAGAGTCGCTCGCGTCCGTAGGCTTCGACCACCTAATCCTAGGCCCACCCTACACGTGTCCCCCGGGTGGTGCTAAACGAGCGACAAAGCCGAAACGACAGACTCGGCTCCTCGCCGTATGGTAGCGGCGTAAAATCTACCACCCCCTTAGTTCGCACCATGAGCCTAGTAGAAAAAGAAATGGCCCCGAGTTCCCGGCGCCCCTTTAATGGGGCAGGGGTGCGAAGAATCTCCGGGAGAAAAACCGGCGACGAGGTTCGCCACCCGTCACGTCCTGTCTCCCGGAGGGGCGAAAAGTGGATTGCGGAGGCCCGTCTGGCTACGCTGAATGTATGTGGAGCAATGAATGATAAGATGGATGAAGTATGCGAAATGATGAATGATAGAGGAATAGATGTGTTATGTGTAAACGAGACGAAACGAAAGGGAAGAGATGTCACTGCACATGGCATGTATACCGCTTACTGGTCTGGAGTAGACGAGACCGAGCGGGCATGCCAGGGAGTCGGTGTCATCCTTTCAGAAAGAATGGGTCAATGTGTGAAAGAGTATGAATGTGTTAGCCCAAGGCTGCTGTGGATACGAATGAAAGTGGGCTTAAAGAAGTTGTTTGTGCTAGGGGTGTACGCCCCAGATATGTCTAAGCCCACTTATATCCGAGAGCAGTTTTGGGACATGGTAAGGCTGGTGTTGATGAAATGTAAGGAAAATGAAAATATTATTATGTTAGGAGATTTTAATGGAAGGGTGGGGGTGAAGAGGTCTGGTTATGAAAGGATATTAGGAACGTTTGGCGATGAAAGAATAAATGAGAATGGTGAAGACCTCCTCACCGTATGTGTGGAAAAGAATCTTTTTGTGGCGAACACTTTCTTTCGCCATAAGAGGATTCACATGTATACATGGGAAAGAGGGGATGATAGAAGCATGATAGATTTTATAATTGTGGATGAAAGAATGAGGAGCGCAGTGGTAGATACAAGGGTTTACCGGGGGTCCAACGTAGGGACGGATCATTACTTGGTCTTATGCCGAATTAATGGTCTATTCAGACGTTGGCGGCATCGGACATCGGTGTCTACCACTGCGTTACAGCGTATAAGAATAGAGAGGTTACAAGATGAAGGTGTGAAAGAGAAGTATAAATGCAGACTGAGGGAAAATATAAGTGGGTTGAATGAATTATGTATGAATGATTTAGAATTGAAGAATGTATGGAATAATATTAAGAGAGTTCTGGTGGATGCAGCCACCGAAGTATGCGGTGTAAGTAAGAGAACGAATGAAAGGAAAAGTAATACGTTGTGGTGGGATGATGAGGTACGGATGGAAGTTGAAGCAAAGAAGAGAGCATGGCTAGATTTACTAGCAACTAAAGCTGGTAATTCTGGCGGTATGAATGATGAGATTGAAAGAAAAAAGGCAAACTTTAGACGTATAAATAAGAGAGTAAAAGAAGTTGTTGAAAGGAAAAAGCAAGAAAGGATAGCTAAAAATGATAGAAGGATATCTGATAACTTCCAGGAAAATATTAAAATGTTCTGGAAGCTCGTAAGAACTGCCAGGGGAATTTCAAAACAGCCTAGAATGAATGCTATACGAGACGAGAATGGCTGCATGCTGAATGATGAAGTTTCGAATTTAAAGAGATGGAAGGAATACTTTGAAAGCGTGTTTAAGAGTGAAGAGTCGTCTGAAATAAGTGAAATAGAAATTCCGGAAGAAGTGGAGAGAGGTAGGGAGATAAGTGTAGATGAAATAATGAAAGCAATGAAAAGCATGAAAGCAGGTAAGGCAGCCGGATATGATAGAGTATCACTCGAAATGCTAAGGGCTGGTGAGGGTGTGGTTGCAGGCCTGCTGCACACCTTGTTTAATTTATGTTGGGAACTGAAACGGGTACCGGAAGACTGGTGCAAAGCCGTTATAGTCCCAATATATAAGGGAAAGGGGTCGCAGCAGGACTGTAAAAACTACCGTGGTATCAGCTTGCTTAGCATTGTGGGTAAACTGTATGCTAAGGTGTTAATTGAAAGAGTTATGGAAGAAACTGATGGAAAAATTTGGGATGTGCAAGCTGGATTTAGAAAGGGGATGGGGTGTACGGATCAAGTCTTTTCCATGCGCATGATAGCGGAGAAGTTTTTGGCTAAAAACCAGAAAGTTTTTTGTGCGTTCTTGGACTTGGAAAAGGCTTATGACAGAGTGGACAGGAACGTGTTATGGCAAACACTGAACTCATTTGGGTTGAGCGCTGGCTTGATACAGGCATTAAGGTCTCTTTATAGGGACTCTAGTGCTTGTGTCAGGATCAACGGGGTCTACTCGGACTGGTTTGGCATTCATAAAGGTGTCAGACAGGGATGTGTGGCTTCCCCGTGGCTGTTTAACCTATTTATGGACAGTTGTTTGCAAACTTTGAAAGTTGAAGAATGTGGGTTGAGAATGGGTGAGTCAACCGTCAAATGCCTTTTGTACGCCGATGATCAAGTCATATTTGCATCGTCGGCGGCCGAGTTGCAAATGATGGTTACTTTAATGAATTGTTCATTGAAAGAAAGGGGTATGAAAGTGAACGCAAGTAAGACGAAAGTGATGGTTTTTGAAAGAGAAGAAAGTAAAACTTTATGTAAAATAAGAATAGAAGGGGAGTTGATTGAGCAAGTGGATGAGTTTGTATATTTGGGATGTTTATTTAGCAGGGATGGTAGATATGATAAGGATATAGAACGACGAGTGAACGCAGGAAATAGAGTGAATGGGGCTCTACACGCTATTGTGAGGAGTCAGAATGTGTCAACTAAGGTACGTATGGTCATAATGCTGTGTTAGTACCCACTTTAATGTATGGTAGTGAAAGTTGGGTCTGGCAGAAGAAGCATGAGAGTAGAATAAATGCTGTAGAAATGCGTTCCTTAAGGAGTATGCTAGGGCTGAATCTGAATGACAGGGTGAGAAATAGTGTAATAAGAGAAAAGTGTGGTTTGCAAGATGACGTTGTGACAAGGATTAAGAAAGGAATGCTTCGGTGGTTTGGTCACGTAGAAAGAATGAACGAGGAAAGAGTGACAAAGCAAATTTATGTCGCAGAAGTGAACGGCAGGGTCGGGAAGGGACGCCCTAGACGAAGGTTTATCGACCAGATCGGCGATACATTGAAAATGGGCCAGATTAGGAGTACCCTTAACCGACGAGCGTGTATGCGTAGATATATGGATGTGAAAGAGGCGAGAGAGGTGTGTCAGGATCGCGCCAAATGGAAGTCCGTAGTCTCTGCCTACCCCTCTGGGTGACAGGCGTGAGTGTTTATGTATGTATGTATGTATGTTGTTGAGATAATATGCGAGACGAAATATCTTCACCCACGCACGAATCAAATACTTTGGGGCCGTCTTGTACGACGTCGTCTAAGTGACTGACCGTGTATTCAAATTACGCGTCCACTATTATCCGGAGCCTTTATTTGTGCTCAAACACAAATTACTTTTTGGGCTGGATTCAGTCCGGGTGTCATCATCAGTCTGGGTGCAATGTGATTGTTCCTGTGTCTGACCTTAGCGTAGAATATTAACGTAGTTTCTGTGTTTGCAAGTACATTAAACAAACATATTAAACAACTGGTGGTAAAGTTACGTACAACGAACTTCAATATAAATAAGAACATTATCAATATAGCCGAAGTCAATTAAATACCGCATTATTAAGGATAACTCTGAAACTACTGGTCACATCTTGATCAATTGATTTATATGGGATCACATGAGAAGCACCAGTTTTCCAATAAAAAGAATCACCTAGAATAAAGTTCTGAAGTAACACATAAAAAAATACATTTGAATTGAGAACTTCCTCCTTTTTTAAGTCGGTGGAAAATAATAATAGTTTTTGTTTACTGTGTAGTTGTTTCTCATTATAAATAGTCAAGTCTACACAACCTTATCTTAATAAAAATTGACAAGAAAACTTTTTAAATAAATAATCAACTAGGTAAGGGTAATAGTTTTATCAAGGATTTTATTAGATTTTTACACTATGTGTCGACAGGACATGGTGGGCTACAATTTGCACGCCCTTCAATGGCTTCGTCGTGAAGCAGAGGCGGCAGAAAGCGAGCAGCTGTTCAAAGTTGCTGTTGGGGAAAAGAAAGCACGGGACTCGAAACGTCGAGCCAGGCAGGCGGTCAAACGGCCAATAATAACTGTGACATAGCTGTTAAATAAATAATATTATTTTCAACACAATGTTGTTTATTTTATAATCATCATCATTACAGCCTATCTCAAGTACACAGCTCAACATAGACCTTCTCTTGCCACAAAGCAGGTCATTTCATCAGATCGTCACTCACTTTAATTTGCTTTTTTCAAAGAACTCAATCAAATTATGTTTTAGCAATTCGTCCAAAAATTACTATTTTTCATTTTCACACGTTTTAAAAACATCTAAGGCCAGTTCACATTTTGATCATGTTGTAGGTGCATCGGTACTAATACATGCGCACTAAATTACGGTCAATTTTCCTTAACTTTAGTCAACTGCGAGCAGGCTAGAAGACTAATTCTTTTTTTTTTGTATACCGCGAACGTTGTTTTTGAGAATATAACTGATTTTGTATAAGGACGCGTTTGCAAATCGAGCAAAATTATGCTGTTTTTCGGTACATTTTGTGACAAAACTAAACCAAATCAAATATAACTAATAACTACCACGTCTAGACTGGTTCTTCATCCTTCAAATGGTAGTAACATTTTTGTTGAAATTAATAGTTTTTTATATTGTAAAAACTATCTTCATTAGCCATTTTCTACAAAATTAACGTTACCGGCTCGAGTTTAGGTACATTTTTTGTTCTATTATCAATATATATTAATATTTCTAAAAATACTATAAGTAGGCAGACATATTCAATAAAAAATAATAGTATTTACTTTTTATCAAAATGTCACAAATAGTCGTAAAAAAAATACTGATGGGTATTTTTTCACATATTTTGTTAATACTGATGAATCATAATCGATTGCAATAAGGGTTATTTTATTTTTGGTGCCTGTTTTGATTTATTGTACAAAAATTTCGATGAAACCAAAGTCCGCGCTCGGCCGCGTTCGTGAGTGGACCGTATCGCCTGATTGCAGCGGCTCATACTGATTAAGATCGCTGTACAAATAAAAAATCTTCGAATATGATACATATGTACCTGATAAGCTAAAATAATATTATTATTTTTATGATCACACATTTTATTCGCTAAAAGTAAGTGGGATTTATATAAATGCCTACTCGTCTTGGACTTTATGGACTGATCTGTGTACTTCGGTGACTGCTACTGGAACTCCTCGACGAGTAGTACTAGGTTTATCCATTTTGTTCCCTTTTTTTTAGTTATGATGAGACCTTACCTCCGGACTTGATAGAGACCTGATAATGTACTTCAGTGACTGCTACTGGAACTCCTCGACGAGTAGACCCAGATGTGCCGAGCCAACAAATCGAGCCCAAACTCGGTACACCTAGTTCTACTCATCGAGTAGTTCCAGTAGCAGTCACCGAAGTACACCATCAGGTCTCTCCATCAAGCCCAAACTCTGCACACCTAGTTCTACTCGTCGAGGAGTTCCAATAGCAGTCACCAAAGTACACATTTATCAAGTCCGGAGGTAAGGTCTCATCATAACTAACAAAACGAGCCTAACCTCGGCACACTTTATTCTACTCGTCCAGGAGTTCCAGTAGCAGTCATCGAAGTACACTTTCAGGTATTCGAATTTCGTATCTAAGTATATTTTTGTAAGAATAACAAATGAGAAAAAAATTCAATCTTATGTTTTACTTGATTACGATTCCCGCAGGTAACCATGCGTACACTTGTGTGTGACCCGTGTCAATGTAAAGCGTCTCCCATACAGAAGCGGCTTGCGGTGGCGGCCAGTTGTATTCGCTTGCAATGTAAGTTACTCTGCAAACTCGTGCGGCTATGGCTCGGCCTGCCAGCGGCTGACCGCAGCCGCGCGCTGCGCCCCTTCCGCCAACGAGTGTGTTAGCGAGTACGCTGTCTGTCGGTGGCCGCAGCGCGATCAGTTGCAAATTTTTACAACAGGCCGCGTGTACCGCGTGATTAATGGTGCTAAACTCAGAGATTTTAATAGAAACAAGGCGAAATTATCCAATACTTTATGATAATTTGCATCGTGATCACAAAATCATTGGGATTAAAAACAAAATATATGATAATATTGCTGAATATAATAAGACGGTTTGTCATGTTTACTGACGTCCGATCGTAGCACAGACACCACTGCGAATGGCGCTTCAGGCCGCCACTCGCCGGCGGTGGTGTGTTGTTGCAGCGGCTGGAGCCGCGGCTCGCGGTTAGCCGCCACCGCAAGCCGCTTGCGTGTGGGACACGCTTAATAGTTCGATTCTATACCTATCAATTTTGCAAATGCGTCCTTAATGTAACTATGTCAACTAGTGTACTTTGTCAACGTAATTTGAAGTCTATGACACATAAGAATATAACTTATTTTGTATTCGTCAAAAAAACAATAACTTTCGTTAATGCCGGCGGAGTAGCTAATCGTCTTGGTAAATATGGCACGCACTTGTATTTTCATTTACGACAGTTACTGTTTTTAGGTACGGTACTATGTTACGAAGTCAACAAATCCCCATAAATAGTGAATTTTAATAAAACACTGAAATATAGCTGCTATAATTTATTTGTAAAAAAATATCCTACTCACTACATAGCCAATATATCAGTTAAATTTTAATAATTTAAGTTACCATCCCTGCGTAAGTCACATTATTTATCATCTATACAACAATAATTAATGTATTTCACAATGAGTATTCCGGCTTAACTTCTCTCATAACTATATCAATCAGATAATTTATGCTGAAACTTACATTTATACACATAATTTGACGACAACAATCAATAAATTTAATGGTCCTTCAAGCTTATTGGAAAGTAGACTTTACATTATGTATGTGAATATTTCTATGAGAAATGAGATTAATACACTAAATTTTATTCTATATTTTTGTTTTGAGTTGGATTCAAGGAATAAGTCCATTTAAGAGATTATTTGACCACTGAAATACTAAACTCACAACTTCTAGGTATATGTTGACAATACAGATATAAAAAAATACTCATAGACAAGTTTTTTTTTTAAATTAGAATCTCTAGTAATTGTGAGCTCAGTCAATCAGTTCTATATTATATAAAATAATTGACATATTAATTTCACATTAACCGAAATATTTATCTGTTAAATAAACTTGTGAACAACCTTCACCAGCTCATCACTACTTATCACAATGTTATTTTTATTGCTTCTCGAAAACACAATTACATTCTCAAGCATATCACATTTGGACTAAAATACTTTCAACGACATTTGCAGAGAAACAATAATTGCGTAAGGTACGTATCATGATCAGAGACGTTACAGAGAGTATACCTGTCAGTCTTTAGTCCTCAAAATAGTACAGAGGACAAATATATTGAAACCACATTAATTTAATTAAGCTAATATTTCAGCATAAATTATAATAAACGCATAAAAGATTAGGTATGCCTGCGCCTTTCTAACGAGACCAAAAAAAAAAACAAAGTCACAAACACAAACACATGCTTGTTAGGGCGTAAGCACACACGACACAACCGGTTTGTTAGTTATTAAATATTGATTGATACACATTGTTCAGCAACTCTTTATACTGATAAATCCGTAAATTAACCTATGACTAATAATAACCGAAATGGAAGATCGAAGAGCGCACGCGCTAACTTGATAAAGTTCTTCTGATATAACCCTCACAGCAGGAAAAACGGCAAATTGAACGTTTCCAAGTGTTTATACTCATTTTAATGTAAAATAACTAAAATAGGCATTGAACGTCAACTAGTTAAAACTACATATAATACGTAACTAAGAATAATGTACAGAGTAAATCAATAAAAATAATACTGTATCACTACTGCAAGCAGCAATGTTGTTGGGGACTGGACACTAATTGCACAATCACAACATCAAATCATATTATATTTATGCTGTCAGGTAATAAGATAATAATATCAACATTTCACTGCATTAAGTTCAGCCACTACATAATATATAAATTAACAATAAAACAAATTTACAAACATCAAGAATACGTTTCATCGTCAAGAATTTCGAATTACGTGGATTAGAACAAAAAAGTAGAGAGAGCGAAACGTTAGAAAGCAACAATAATAATATAATTACTTTACACTATAAGAGGTTATTGTCTATGCGAAATATCATTTCACACACTGTTGAGGGAAGCCATGTTATAAAAAAATACTAACACGGATAACTCTACAATGTTCCCGATAGTAAGAATAAGTAATCTCAATTTTAAAGCTTTCAAAATACGATAAACTTGACGCGTGTAACACGAAAATTATAATGAGTTAGCTGCCACAGATAAACAAGATCACTGCAGGACTCGATCGTACTATAGGTAAGCATGGTCTAGCTAAGTATTATCACAATGTCTCATAGACTGTGTAATTTACTGGCCCGTGGGGAATCAATAATAAATAAATTACCACTAAATTAAGTAAAGACGTTAAGTAAAGGACGGTGAATACGAGTTTAAATAATTATAAATCGGAAGCAATAACGAAACAGCCAGTTTTATATTACAGATAACTTAAATGCCCCTCGCTGAAATGCGAGTACACAACACTGACCTCGCCGAGGTGACTCCCGAGGAATTCACTCGATATAATGCCACGAAGATTTGGTTTCGGGATGCTTACCCATAATGTGCAAGACATTTCAAAGGAGCAAAAGATCGGCTCCCAGATGGATAGTTTTAACCCTAGTCACTAGTTTTATAGTATCATATTACGCCAACACACAAGAAAAACATTCGTAATCATAAGAAAAAAAAATATCCTTTACCAACTAGCGGTAAATATCATACAAATAATGGATAATTTCTTTGTTATTGCTCATTTAATAATATCATTACACTATTATAATCTGTTTGCCTTACACTATTACAATTATTGAACATTTGCAAAAAATATATATATTATATAGAGAGAGACTCACTTGTCATTATTGCTTCGTAACAGATCAAATTCTTATCGCTAAAATACTCCGGGGAAACGAAAATACTTACAATTTAAATACTGACCGAAATGGGAAATAAATTACATAATCATT